GGTTGGAGCTGCATAACATCTTCTGATGATCTGCAAGCGTGCCTAGACGAAACAAAGCCCATACACTCGACTTCACTCTTCTTTTCCTCACCGGTGGTGGGGATGGCCGACGTAAGAATGATGCACGAAGAAAGCCCATGATGAATAACACTTCGATCCACACCATGCACAAAGAAATCCCTCGCCACAATGAATAAGACTCTGTCCACATCACGCACAAAGAAATCCCCTCACGATGAATAAGACTCTGTCCACAGACTCCGCAGAGTCCACACCCTTCCTCTCAGGTAATTGTGCCCAACAACTCCTCTCCTACGAACCTGCTATCATAATGATGCTGCTCATTTCACAACCCAAGACTGAAACTTTAGGACGATGCCTACCCTAAACCCTAAACCCTAAACCCTAAACCCTAAACCCTAAAATTTACTGAACTCTTCTTCTACGCCAGTGGTTAATTCACTTGAGAACCCAAGAGCCTAGCTCAGTGGGTACACCCCTGAACTGTTGAAATACAGACCTGTGTTCGAATCCAGATGATGGAACTTGATGAATACAAACCAACTACTAATAAATTGTTTGGGGCTGGTCAGATCAATGATAATATCTCAAGGCCGTTGCCCTTTTAAAATAAGAGACAAAAAAAAAATAAAAATAAAAAAAAATCACTTGAGTAACTTAACTTATAACTCACTTAAGTTGCCCAACTCTTTACTTAACTCACATCATAAGTTCCTTAGCTCTTCTTCTTCTTCTTCTAAGCCTTTGTGTGTGGTCGGCGTATGTATCGCGCGGCTAGAAAGCCGATGATGAGTAAGATGACATCCTCCAGTAATTGTGCCCAGCAAGTCCCTCTGAACACGCAGCGAAAGAGTCGGTAGCGGTTCTGCATGACGTCCGCAAGTCTAGTCAATCGAAGCTTGTACTTGGCGGCACAGGAGTCGAAGAACAGACGATCTTCTAGTGCAAAGTGTGCTCAGAGACGCGGCGACAGGAAGTAGGTGCTCCACCACACATTGGTCGGCGTAAGAAAGGCACCCTGGATTCCAAGAGGCGTCGTTTAGGTCTTTTATATCTGCCTCAACAACCGATAAATAGGAGGTGAAATCATCTTTCATTTTCGCTCTGGCTTTAGCATGCCAGCCAGGAAAGAATTCATAGTCCGCTTTGTCGTACGAGAAAGCTGTTTTCACCATAGCAGGGATGTTCTTGTGTGGCTTATACCTACTTTGGATAAGCTCTTTCTCGATGCCTCTTATGGTCGTTAGCGGATCGTCGTAACCCTCTTCATTGCCCACTCCCTTGGCAACAACGACACCAGTTTGCCGATCTAGAATGTCGGCAAATCAGCCCCACTCCTCCGGCTCCTCTTCCTCCTCGTCCTCACAATAGTTGAGCGGCGGCCAATTTCCTTCCCACATTAACATCCGCAAAGGCCAGTTCTGACCGTCGGATCCCACCAGATCGAAATCGACCAGAAAGGCCACCAAACCCCTGTTCAAGATAACTTCCCTATCAAAGGCCTGCGTCGATTCCTTCGCACAAAACTCATATAACACTTTGGCGATCGTCTCATCGCTCTCTCCACTCACGTCTGCTGTCCCCCAGCGGCCAAAAAAATCAGGCACAAAGTTGGGAACATGGTGTGTGACCAAGAACTGCAGAAACTTCACAGCAAATTCCTCCTTAGCTTCTGAGTCTGAATGCCTGCCGTCATCCACTAGAAGCAGGTCTTGCAATGTCAACGTCGGGATTCTCCTAAATTCCGCACCTTGTAATCCCTCGACTGTGTATCTTCGACAATCACAATCACTGTCGCAAGCCTTATGATCATCATCATCATCATCATCATCACCATCATCATTGTTAATACCCACGTGAATGCCGTAACCATCTTCCTCATCCTCATCCTTACCCTCATCTTTATCCTCACCTTTATCCTCATCCTCCTCCTCCTCCTCCTCCTCCTCACAATCCATATGATTGCCATTATCCTCCTCCTTATTCAGACCCTTACCCTCCTTCTCCTCCTCCTCCTCTTCCTCCTTCTCCTCCGCATTCTCCTACTCCTTCTCCTCCTCCTCCTTCTCCTCCTCCTCCTCCTCTTTCTCCTCGGCATTCTCATGCTCAGGATCCATGTGATGGATGGAAACATCGTCCTTATGCTCATCCTTATCCTGAGGCTTATCCTCATATTCATCCTCACGTTTATCGTCATCCTCCTCATTAGCTTTGTCCTTATCCTTGTCAGCCGAATCGACCATATCTTCTTGATAAGGTCGCAAGAAGTCGGCGGCAAATCTCTTCACCATATTGCTGAGTGCATCAACAAATGTCATCGAACTACAGCCCTGGTCTATCGAAAAATTAGCAAACTCGGCGCCAAATTCCTCAACACTTTTGACCATGAGATGAATTCCCCCGGGCTCATCGATAAAATTCAGGAAGAGTCTGACGTCGCTGCGGAAGATATCCGTCTCCAGACTAGCAAGCTGACGTGGCAAGACGTGGAATTTCTCAAACACACTTCCTTGAAACGCTGTGCCAAAGTCCAGCACCATATCCTCATCCTTACCCTTATCCTTTTCCTTATCCTTTTCCTTATCCTCATCGTGATCAGGATTGCCGTTGATGTTGTTGTCCTTCACGCTCCCATCACCACCACTAACGTCCACGCGTGCTTTCTTCATCTCTTGGCCTTAAAGCTTCTTGCGTTGCTTTCCCCACTAACCCTTGCCCACACACACACACAAAAAAAAAAAAAAAAAAAAAAAAAAAACCTTGTATCTGTGTGTGTGTGGGTGTGTGACTTGACTTTCACTGCGAGTCGAGGCTACCGACTTCCCCCGAACATAACGGACCCTGATAATGAATGTTTACAAGCTATATTTCCAGTCCGGTACAGTCAAAATGAGGGTGCGTTGTGTTCGACGGAAGAAGGTAGTCTAACTGACTGACCCTCTGTAACAAAAAAAACTGCAGAGGATCTCACTCGATGAAAGAGAAGAGGCCATCCAACACACAAAAAAAAAAAAAAAAAAAAAAAAAAACCGAGTAGATCTAGGACATCAGAAATGCTGCCATGTGGCTCTGTCAAATAAGCTGCTGCCACGTGGCTCTGTCAAATAAGCTGCTGCCACGTGGCTCTGTCAATGGAGCGGGTAGCTAAGCTGAGCGAGCTGGAGCCCCCCGTTCTGAAAGGAAAAACGCAAAGACGAAGAAAACAACAGAGGTGGGTCTTCGCACCTCCTAAGTCTGACGCACAGGAGGACTTTCTGGACTGAACCTGGCCGTCGAAATGGTCAGCTGCGTCCAGAAAAAATCGTCTTAAGTGCTAGGTTCTCTTTTCCTCTTTCCACTTACCTAACGGGCAAATGCCTATCCCTTTCAAAACGGCAGCAGCAGCAGCAGCAGCAGCAGCAGCCGGAGGAGGAGTAAGAGAAGTGGAAGTAGATGGAGGAGCAGGAAGCAGGAGCAGTAGGACGACGAGGAGGAACGGGAGCAGGAGGAAGACGAGATAAGGGCCTAAACGGGCGAGTGGTAGTAGTAGTAGTAGTAGTAGTAGTAGTAGTAGTAGTAGTAGTAGTAGTAGTAGGAGGAGGAGGAGGAGGAGGAGGAGGGAAGTGGGAGCAGGAGGAAGAAGACGAGGGCGAAGGAGGAGGAGGTGGAGGAGCAGGAGCAGGAGCAGGAGGAAGAGGAGAAGAGTAGGAGGACGAGACGAAGAAGAGCAGGAGGAGAAGGACACTACTGAGCACACAGCTGCAGGCTCAGGAACAAATGTACGACGAGGAGCAGGAAGAAGAAGACGAAGAAGAAGAAAAACAAAAAGGAGGAGGAGGGGGAAGAGGAGAAGAGTGGGAGGAGGAGGAGAGGAGGAAGAGCAAGAGGAGGAGGAGGACACTACTGAGCAGGCACTCGCAAGCCCAGGAACAAAGGTACCTACCTAGCTTGTGGACTGCCTATCACTGCCGCTGGCAGACATCGGAATTCCCTGATCCGATCGGTGATCAAACTTGGCGCGCTGTACTGTGAGTCATCCAATTCCCGAGATATAGCAGAGACCAGTGTTAACGAAGGAGAGCCAGTGACTCTACTCTCTCTACTTGATGACACGTGGCATTCCCTACGTCAGAATAACGGTAGCAGAGAAATCCCACCATGTCTATCAAAAATGATCAAACTTGGCGCGCTATACCGTCGGTCATCAAACCCGCAGATGGGACAGATCACTGCTACCAAGGGGGGCGAGCAATCAAACGAGACACCTGTTCAGCAAAAAACAAAAAACAAAATCACCAAAAGAAAAACAAAAACAATCACCATAAGCACATGTCAAATGTTGTTGATAAGAACAAAAATCCAGTTGTGTTTTCCCAAAAAAAAAAAAAAAAAAAAAAAAAAAAAA